ATTCGTGTTGACCAGGTTTGAAGCGGGTTCGAGTTTAAACCCGGTGTCTTGTTGAGTGGATTGGGTCGGGTGCGGGTGCGGCTTTGGGGGTACCCGCCCCATGGATACCCAACCACACCCCATAACCTAAACCTAGCGGACTCCATCTCCATTTCCCCCAATTTCCCCTGATTCCGCAGTCACCACATTCCACCAGCCACCATAAAAATCCAAACATCCAGTTCACCTTCCCTTCCTCAATCCTTCGCGACTGCGCCTCCGAGACTCTGCGACAGCTTCCCTCTCACTCCTTCCACCTGCAATTCCCCCTGCTCCGGCTCTCTCCAAGTCTCCAGACGACTCCCGTCCTGCACGACCATCCCCCTGCTCTGCCTCTACGTCATTGCTCCGCCTCTCAGCCTCTGCTCCGCCGCCAACTATAGGAGTCGTCTCTGCCTCCAATCGCCTTTCAATCTCCTCGCCGCTCTCCTAGTTGACTCGACCTTCGCCTCTCTCCGTCTGAGCTCTCCTCGCTGGCGATCTCAGATCCACACTTGATTGCATTACCGATCCCTCCCTCAACGTCAACTTTGTCGGGGTCGTCTGCTTGAAGTGTTGTCGTAGCGAGGTCGTCGAGTCTCCTGACGAGGTCGAGTAGGAGGAGTTCAGGACCGACATCACCGCTCTCTTCCTCGCTGTCCACAAAAATCCACGGGTACCCATGAACCTGTGGATACCCGACGGGTTGTGTTGCGTTTGAGTTTTTCAAACGCATCGGGTTTTACCCCGGGGTTTTTTGAAGGATAAACCTATGGATTTGGGTTTGGGTTTGGCAAAACCCGCCCCAACCCGGCTCATTTTCATCCCTAATTGCATTGTAACAATCTCAGCCAAACTATCACCAAAATCAAGCGACCCCATAGAAGCATGTTGGAGAATTTCGAGATCGTTTGCTAGTTGGATTCAAAAATGAAGTTTTTGTCTATAACTTGGGATTTAAAATCATTGAGATTTATTAGAGATTTGAGCCATTATGGATTTTAATATCTTTTGTTTGTTGAGTTGTTTTCATCATGAATTTGGGATTTAGAACTTAAAAACTTAATTTACTTTATTACCCTTTATATTTGTTTTCTTTTATTTCCACCATTCCCACACCATATTTTCTTCTTCCCTTGTTGAGGCCTTCCTCATTCATCCCTCGAGAAGAAGGGTTTGTTCACAAGTCCTATACCCTCGTTCCCCATCTGCATATGAGACAAAGAGAGAAGCACATAACTCTTCCCAAAATAACATTGGTAATTAGTATGGTGTGGTAGATTGAACATCTTGTAGTTGCATTGACATCTTTTTCCTATCCTTGTGTTTCTCGTCGCCATTTAAGGGTTATGGTTCCTAGTGGAAGCATATGGAGATTGAACCAGCGGAAGGATCGTGCTAACCTGGGTTTTTATTTCACCGTTGTTGTTAGGGGTGGAAATCGGTACGATATCGGTATCCCAAATCACACCTTAAAATCAATCCCAATCTATAAATAAATTCGATCTCACAATCTCAATCCCTAAATATTTCGGTATCCCAATCGGTATTATTGAATATAAAATTAATTACCTTTTTAATTAAATGGGTTAATAGTATTTTGTACCCCTTTACTATTGTGAATTAACGAACGTACCCCCGTAGACTGCGGTCAAGAAACAGTCCTCCCCCTCACTACTACGTACCTATTAATTTTTTGCACAAATGTACCCCTCTAGTACTAAAACGTAACGAATATACACCTCCGTTAAATTTTATGTTAAATGACCGTTTAATGAGTTGTAAAATGACCTAATTGCCCCTCATTAACTCCTAATTTTTATTTAATATATTTTATGTACCTAAAAATCAAAACCTACGCCACAAGTTTAAATAAAATAAAATAAAATAAAAAGCTACCGGCGCTTAAGCATTCCCAAACCTTCTAACCCGACAAACCCTTCCTTCTTCCTCTCTACTCTCGCCGACTCCCCTGTACCAGAGAAATCCGACCATGCTCTCGGCCAATGGATTCAATTTGATTCAAGACATGAAGCAATAAAACTCATTTGATTAATAAGTAATTGGGATTGAGTACCACCAATTGTACAAAAGGCATTAGATTTGCATTACTTGCCAACCAAATAAAAACACATCATTATATACACCACCAGATCCGACGAGCAGCTTCAAATCCCATCATTCTTCCTTGTACCTGCATATTTGAAGGGAGCCTTAACACTTAAAGATAAGTTAAACCAATCAACAACCCGAAGTGGATGGGTAGCAGCCGAGTAGAGGGGTGGCCGGAGTCTCTAACGCCGACGGCCGGACGCACAGGCGAAGGGAGAAGAGGATCGCATCTACAATTGTTGTTCGCGGGAGAAGAGTCGCATCACCAACTGTGTGTTTGTGTCGAGAAGGAGGCCGCGTACAAACCCTCCTGCCCGCCGAACCTACTCATGTTGCCGCTGACAGGTGCCGGATTTATTGGGCACAAGATTTCTCTAGTCCAGAGGAGAGTGGGGCGAGGTAAGGAAGACGGAACGTCCGGCCGTCAAAGAGAAATTAGGAGTCGGTAGGTTTTAATTTTTAATTAATTTGGTTAGGGATAAAAAACAATTCAATAAAAATTAAGAGTTAATGAGGGGTAATTAGGTCATTTTAATGCTCATTAAACGGTCATTTAACAGAAAATTTAACAGAAGTGTATATTCGTTACGTTTTAATACTAGAGGGGTATGTTTGTGCAAAAAATTAAAAGAGGGGTACGTTCGTTAATTCGCAATAGTAAAGGGGTACGGACTACGGAATGCTATTAACCCTAATTAAGGGGTCGTTTGGAGAACAGGATTCAGGACATGGATTCATTGAATCCATAGATTTTGTAGAAAGTTATGTTTTTCTGTTACTTTTTGTATTATGGATTCTAGCTTTAGAGATTTCAAATCTCTAAAATCTGCGGATATCAAATCTCTCATAACCAGAGAGATTCTGTATCTTGATTCGTGAGATTTTTTCTCTCCTAATTTTTCTCTTCCTTTTATTTATTTATCACATGAAATATATTTATCAACAAAGTTTTTTTATATTTCTCGAACCACTCTAATTTTTTATTAAGGATAAACATGTTATTTAATATAAAATGAATTTTTTATTTTACTTGATTGTTAACAATCACAGTTACCAAACAATAAACATTTTAAAATCTGTTTTCAACAATCCGAAGAGTTGAAATCTTTAGATTGTTGATAATCTGTAGATTTAAACTCATATTCTCCAAACGACCCCTAAATATATAAGTTAGATTTGGTTGTCTAATTTAGGGCAGAGAGACTAGGCAAAAGGTATTGAGTTTGCCTAGAGTTAGGACATGGATAAGGAGAATGGAGGACATGTGACATTTTAAGTTATTGTCATTGGTAATCTTTAATTCGACGGATTGGAGGTTGAGCAACGACTAATACTAGTGTTTGCTTTTTGGTGTTATGAAAATGACAAGAGATTAGGTGAGAGACGAGAGCGACTAAACTAGAAAGTCAAAATTGGGTTGGATGGGGACTTGTAAATTGTGGAAGAGTGAGAAATGACCAAAGGTTGTGTGCTTTATTTCATTAATTTTTAATTTTGTGATGTTTTCTCGGTATTTTGGTATATATCGATCCCAATCCCATAATTCATTATTAGCCCCAATATGTACTAGGCGGATAACAATGATCATTTGGGGCACTGATGTGGACTCTCTCGTTCGATCTCTTTGGGAGGTGAGGAATCTGTCATGAGGAGGGGGGTGGCCCCCGTGATCTACACTTTGACGCCCAAGTTAGTTCGATGTAGAGGAAGATGTATGTAACGTAAATGTAGAGAGAGAAAGAGTTTTGAGAGAGAACCATGTGTGGTGGATCGAATGTGTGAAGAAAAGAGAGGAGGTCCTTTGCTTGGAGGGTTTGAGCCTCTATATATAGGAGTCTGGCGCTTCTTTGGTCTGACGGCTTGGGGCTTCCTTTAGGCTAACGCCTCAAGGTGGGCTGGTGACCTCAGGAGAGGTGCCTAAAAGGCTGAGGCATCTGAATGAGTTGGAGGCCCTAGGAGAGGTGTCGTAGAGCTGACTTAGACTCATTGGTTATGTGTACTATTGTCGTATTAGGCATATTAATCCATATCCCAACAATCCTAAATACCGAATAGCACTCCAAAATGAATCTCAATATCAATCCCTAAAAGATAAATCGATATTCGGAATACCAAATAGTAATAAATTCGGTACGGTATTCGGTATATCCTAAATATAGGTACCAAACTTCCAGCCCTAGTTGTTGCTAGTGGACGACGACAAAAAACTGTCGAGGCTGATATCTCTTGTCACCAACTATACTCCAATTTAGCAGGAGCTTCTTCGTTTTTGTTGGAGCTCTCTATTAGAAGGAGAGAGCTGGGCAAAAATTCGACACAACGATGGGAGAAATATAGGAGATCAAATTTGGAATAAGAGAAAGTCATGGGGATAGAGATGTCATTTTACATATTGGTTTTTAGTCGCTAGATCTGGAGCAAAAAATAAATCAAAATACGTGGCTCTACATGTTTGTGTCCGAATTTTTTGAACAAACAAACAAAAGATTTTGATTAAATAATGTTTTTGGTACCAATAAGGCTGTCGACCAGCGGGTTGCCCGTTTTGACCCTGGCCCGATGAGAAAATGGGTGTCATATACTCGCGGATCAACCTGCAACAAGGTTCCCGAGTTAGAGGTCATACGATATCTTTTCTCATTTTGGTTTGCGAAATACATCTTTTTTTTCTATTTTTGCTCTTCGTCTAACTCTATCTTTGAAATTCTACATTGAACATTTGAATATTATTAATGAATATTATTAATGTTATATAAGTGTATTTGAGTTTTTACTATATATGCTGGATTCAAGTACAAAATGTTATTTTGGTGTTAGATGAAATTTGCTATAATTTAAAAATATATGATTAATGAATTTTTTTCATATATCAAAGATTCAAATCAATTGCTCGACCGGCCAACAACCTCGGTCGACAACATTAGGTAACAGATCCACATAGCAAAAGACCCCTTCATTTCATGTATAAAATTTTCGACTCTCCATTATATCATACAAATATAACCCCCTTTCCCCCTCTTTTCTGTCCCTGACAATCCTTCTCCTACAACAACAACAGCAACCAGATATAGAGCTAGCTGGATGACTACAAAGATTGATTAACACGATACTAAATGCCCACAACTTCCCCCCAAAAAGAAAAAAGAAAACAAATATGATAGAGAATGGTAAAAAAGAAAAGAATGGCCAAGTTACATCTCCATCTCGCCAAGCTGTAAAAGGGTTTTTACCTTCTCTTCCAGTATGATTGATCATCATGACTCCCTCAGCTTCATCATGTATCTCTGATAGAGAGGCCGGAAGTTTCAGGTGCAAAGCAGCAAGAATACGATGATCTCACATGTTTCTTGCCAGGAAGTTCTCTATATTTAGTTTTGCTCAGACTGCTCCTTTGTGTCCACCACAGTTTTTGGTTCATGCTTCCTCTTACTTCTGCGCTTAGATCTTGATGATCGCGTCTTTGTGTGCTTAACGATTGGCTGTGACTCTTCCATGTTGTTCACTGCCTTTTCGTTGTCGGAAGGGAGTTCCGGAGGAGCGTCTGGCCATGGCGTTCGTTTTGATGGCACGGTGATTTCCAGTGGTGGGTCGATTATCCACCTGTATAAACAGCACCAAGAATATATGAGCTCAAAGGGAAAAGAGAGAAAAACAGAGAACCTGTTGAGAAACTAAACCTAATGATAAACAAGGACATATTTCCATGAGTATCTACATTTCAGAACCTGGGAGATAGATAAAAATCCAAAATTTCCAGGCATAAATAGGTCCTCATAAGCCAATGGAGACAATCTTAAAGGCTAATCCTGTTCTAATTTAATTTGCAGGCACAGTTACTTCTAGGATCCTCGGTACTAACAGAGCAGGAATCCCGTCAAAATAAACCTATCAATTAACACAGGATCAAGTAGTAACAGATATTGTAGAAGGTTTCAATTCTCTCTATCAAGGAACCATGTCTCAATAGACAATCTATGCACCACTGCAGCAATTCATCTGGTACTAATTAGCCATCTAAAGGACAGGCAAGTAATTAGCAAGAGTATGTGTGCATGAAAGGAATCAAGTGAATTATTATCATATCATTCTATAACAAGGATGTGACTATTGAAGTATCGACAGGTTCACTTCCTATGTTTGTTTGCTGCTATCAACACGTGCCACACGGATGCTGAATGCGGTTACAAAGATGTGTCTATTGAAGTATCGACAGGTTCAGTTCCTATGTTTGTTTGCTGGTATCAACTATCGACACGTGCCACACGGATGCTGAATGCGGTTACGAAAAAAACTGCCAATCTAAGATGCTAAGTAGCTTTCTAGACTACTGTTGACAAGTTAATCGAGGACCAGGAACTTTCATGCAAGTTTAAACCTCAAGCACACAATATGACCTATTCATGAATGGGCGAAATGGGGGAAAGCAAATCTTACCCAGCAGGGAACTTGCTGTCTGTACGAGCTTCAACTCGAAGCCACCAAAGTAAAACTTGTTTGCCACAGCTTCCAAGTGGTTCCACCATTGAAGAATCCTTCAATAGAGATAAAGGAGACTCTATATCATCACCATCAACCACGGAATCTAAATCCCTAACCCAGTGAGGCTTATCTTCATTATCCTTCCATAGCAACCTCGAATTCAACACAAACCCAGCCCACTCCAGCTTCATAGGCAGCACGGTTGCTCTATCATCTATAAAAATCGCGTTATTCCCTTCATACGGCTGTGGATCAAAGGTGTGCCAACCAGCCAATTTGCTAGATTCATTACAGGCAGGACCTTGAACAGGGATTGCCTGCTTCTTCTCTTTCTCTTCTACTTCCTTCTCAACCGTTGCAAATGATGATAACTCCTCGGCGCCACCTGAATGAGCAAGAATACCAATGGAAACCGCACCAAACCAGTTCACACTCTGAATTTCATCGAAGAGTTCAATACTGTGCATATTACTATCGTCCGCAAACATCACAATCCCTTCCAGCTTCTTATCCCTCACAACCCTGCTCCATCATTTGGACAAGAAACGGTTACTTAGTTTTCCGATAAGAACGATGTTTGACTTCAACTGACTCTCAGTTTACTTTCAGTTCATCCAATAACAGGGAAAAGCAGAGAAGAAGAACAATTCTTACCTCAAAGCTCGAAGCCGCATTTTGGCCTCCAATTTATGGCGTCCTTCCCACGTGTTGGGCATTTTCTCATCAACCCCGATGTGGATGGTTTTCACACCGGATTTCGAAATGATCGCAGCGGTCTCGTTAGTGACTCCACCGGCCTCCACGACGATCCAGACGACATCGTAAGGGACGAGCATCAGCGAGTGAACGACGCCGGTCAAATGCAGGGTCTGGAAGGTCCGCACGTAGGTCGGCGTGACGGCGATGACGGTCCTCGGGTTCTTCACCCCGAACTGATTCCGCTGCTCCATCTGCACCCTCTCAATTATCTGGTGCGCCTTCATGACCTCGATTGGGTCTGGGTGCGGCCAGGGCCGGATCCGGATCCCGTGACGACCGACCACAACTCTAGTCCTGTTAAGCGCCGCATCTCCAACACCGCCGCCAGAAGCCGGATTCGACGGCAAATTGAACGCCACATCGGAAGCAGTGGTGGTGGCGAGCTGGCGGAAGGGCGCCATGAAGTGATTCGTGTTGGTGGTGACGGATGTTGAGAAGATGAAGAAGAAGACCAGCCGGGAGAAGCGGAACCCGAGGACGAGACTGATGAGGCAGCAGAGTCCATGGAGGACGAGCCAGAACACCGCCGCCGGCGACTTAATCGCGCCGTCAGCCGACGAATCTAATGGAGCCGCTCCCCTGAAGCTCCCCGGCCGGCGGTTCAGGTAGCTCTGCTGAAGGGCCGAGAGCTTCATCATTTCCTTTCCTCTCCCCTCTCTCTCTCTCTCTCTCCCTAACTCAGTTCGAATTCTGAGGGAGAGAGCGAAATCAGAGCTATCAGAGATAGAGAAATGGAAAGGGAAGAAGAGGGAGAAGGGTATTTGTTGAGTTCGACTGAAGCAAAAAGAAAAGAAAAAAAAATAATAAGAAGCAGCGTTTGGTATGAAAATGATTATGAAGATGGAGAAAGAAGAAGAAAAAAAGTAGTTAGAAAGGAAAGAGATTCCTTTGAATTCACGAATTGGAAGACATATTCGAGAGGTTAGGGATTTGAATATTGGGGGCTGTGGTTGCAGGGTTGCTGTACCTGAGTTTGCTGGGAGCTGAGCTAAGGCAAAAAACACAGCAATGCTGGCAAGGAAGGAAAATGGAAAATGAAAAGAGAGAGAGAGAGAGAGAGAGAGAGACGGAGGGTGGGGAGACTCGATTAATTAAATTAATTAATTGCGTAAATTAGGGGCAGGTAATAAACGGGTGTTCCTTTTTTACTCATTTGGAAGTTGGAACATTTAATTCGTGGGTAAAATACATCGGCTACCACTTAAATTTGAAAATTGGGGCAGAGATACCACTTAAGTTTGAATAGGGCGTCGGGTACCATTAAAGTCGTCAAAATGTGCATCCGTCTAGTTTTCCATCCAACCCAAAATTTTAATTACTTTTTGGTACCCAAAACTTTTAAAAACATCCAAAACTATATTTTAACAAGTTTTTATCTAATATAGAAATTAAAAAACCCTTCTAAACATAATATTACTAAAATGACTAATCAAAATTGTCAATAAAATAGATAAATTAGTAAAAATAATAAAAAAATATCAAGAAGAAGAATAAATATATAGAATATAATAATAAATATTTAAAATTGATATTAGAAGATCTATTTAAATCACTAATCCAATTAGAAGTACTATTAAAAATTAATTTGGTATCAAGTCTTCAAAAGAGGATACCAACTAAAAAATAAAATTTGATGTTTTCATAAGTCAAAATGATTTTTTACAATAAGAAAAGTAGAAGGACTAATTAAGAAATTTAGAAAACAGAATATTCTGTTAACTTTAACAGAATGCACATTACATTAAACTTAAGTGGTACCGGGTGCACAAATAATAGAGTTCAGTGGTACCCAACGCTCTATTCAAACTTAAGTGGTATCTCTGCCCCAATTCTCAAACTTAAGTGGTACCCGAGATATTTTACCCTTTAATTCGTAATTAGGACAAAAAATTATAGAAGTTTTTTGGGTTTTTTTTTTGACATAAATAGGATAGAAGTCATAGAACATAGATATTACAGGATACTCAACAACTAGACGCGACAGTCGATTACTACTCGAACGGTTGATGAGAGGACATTAGTAACCACTAAATGGGCAGTCCTATTGTACATCCTAGGAGTAAAACTGCAAGAAAACGAAACAAAAGACTCACACGCCAAACAGACTTCCTCCAAAAGCGCGCCTCCCGCTCCATGTGCCACGTCTCTCTCCCGAATGCGCCGCACTAAGAGTTGGCAATCCCCACCAAAGTTGACAGACAAAAACCCATGAGTTAGACACCAAGAGATCGCATCAAGTAACGCCAACAACTCCATTAAAAATGGATCATATATACCTAGATAGTATTTGTCAAAGGAAAAGAGGAGAATCCCGATCTCTGAAAAACCAGCAAAACCAATACCACCTCCCAATTCTTTCTTCCAAGCACCATCAAATCGAACAAGAACCCCACCTACCGGGCAAATTCCATCCTGTTGAACCCTCCTGGACAGCACCCTATGCTGAGAGGTAGAAGTCGATGGCCCGCCATCATTTGGATGTAAGGAGAGCGGAGACGTCGCCGCTTGCCATTCATCGACATGAGCTTGAAACTGTCTCAACAATGCTGGCCCTCTATAGTGGATGTGTTTGTGTACTGCCCAACACCTAAACTTCCAAATTCTCCAACAAATGAAAATCACATCAGCAATAGCAACTTTAGAAAGGTGATAGGAAAGAATCAACTCATTCCAACACTCTGAATGTTATAAGTCACCCAATCTCATGCGAAGAGCGCCTAATCCTGCTATCTCCCACAATTCCTTTGATACTCGACTAGATAGGAAAGAATGCACGACTATTTCAGTTCCTTCAGAACATATTGGGCACGTACCATCTGACACTAGGTGTTTCTAAAGAAGGACGGCCCGTACTAGAAGAAATCCTCGAACCATTCTCCAACAAAAAGACTTTAGTTTGGGTGGGAGAGGGAGTGACCATAATACCTTCCAGAACCCGCTGTCATAAGGTAAAGAGGTAGGTGGGTGTACGGCAAGTAATTCATTGGAAAGAAGACGGTAACCGATCTTTACAGAATACTCCCCAGTAGCTGAGTAGTACCATATTAGTCGATCAGGAAATTGGAGAAAAAGGCAGGGGAATGGATAGAATCAGGCCCACCGATTCCTTGGTAAACAATGACTCAATTAATTGGACATCCCAAGTATGAGTCAAAGGGCAAATAAGATCATAAACCAACCGGGGCACAAAACAATCTCATAATGAAGAAGGGGAGTAGATGGAGGATTAGAAGGAAACCACTTATCTGTTAATATTTTGACTGAGGCCCCATCCCCTATTCTCCAGCGAAGACCTTGGAGCAACAAGTCCCTTCCTGCGAGAATGTCTTGCCAAGCCCATGATGCTCTAGCGCCAAATCGTGCTTACTAGAAGGATGAATTAGGGTGATATCTTACTTGATACAGCCTGGCCAGAGTTGATTGGGGATTCATGAAAATCCGCCAAGCTTGCTTAGCCAAGAGGACAATGTTGAATCGTTCAAAGTCCTGAAATCCCAGGTCGCCTTCAAACTTGCTATAACACACCTCTTGCCAAGAGAGCCAATGATACCATCCTCCTTATCTTGATCAGCCCACCAGAATTTGGATAATTGCCCATTTAACCCGCGACACGTGAAAGAAAAAGGCGAAAGGTAGACATGGTATTTATGAAAGACACAGAGCCAATCTACTTTATCACTGTTTCTTTGGAGGCTAGGGACATGGTTTTAGTTTTCCAGGATCTGATACGGGAAGCCAACCCTTCCTCAACAAATCGAAAATTTTGGGTCTTCGAACGCTGCACATGGACTAGGAGACCTAGGTACTTGTCCTAGAGAGTTGATTCAACATCACCTAAGAAAGCCCCCAAAGCTGCCCGTTCCTAGTCACTAACATTGGCACTCACACAAATAGAAGATTTCATCAAGTTTACCTTTTGACCACTTACCCTTTATAATCTGCAAGCAGAGATAGAAGCGTAGAACATTCCGGCATAGAAGCCCTCAAAAAGAGATATGTATCATCAGCAAAAAAATAAATGGGAGGTGATGGGAGCATGTCTATGAATACGCAACCATATAAGTTCGCAACACTAATTTCAGCATACAAGTTAGCCGAAAAAGCTTCAGTATAAAGAGAAAAGAGGAGCGGGGAGAGGGGATGACCTTGACGAATATCTCGTTGGGGTTTGAAATAACCATGGGATCTCCCATTAATCAGCACCGAGAAAGACACCGTAGAAATACAGGCTTTGATCCATCGCAGCCACTCTTGACAGAATCCCATGTAGTCCATGATTAGGAGGAGAAAGAACCATTCCACGCGATCGTAGACTTTCTCCATGTCGAGCTTCAACGCCATCCATTTTCGCGCCCCCTGCACTTTGGTTTTTGAAAATTGCATAACTTCTTGACCAATCAAAATGTTGTCAGTAATGGATCGGCCGCGAACAAAATCATTTTAAGTTGAACTAATAATGTCAGGTAAGATACCACTCAGCCGAGAAGCCATTTTACTCATTTGGAAGTTGGAACATTTAATCGTAATTAGGACAAAATATTATAATTTTTTGTTGAAATAAAAGCTTTTTTCATAGTAAATATTACAAAGTTTTGTAATGGAATTAGCTAGGGCGCTAACACTTTTTTCAGTGTTATTAAAGCCGAACCGAGACGGTCGGTCGGATCGGTAAAATCGGCACCCTACCACCAACTTGGTTTGGAACACTCCAAAAGCCGCAGCGGTCAGGAAGGTCGATCGGTGAGCGGCCGAAGCGGTTAACCGCTTGGGCCGCTCGAACCGGTCGAACGATTTTAAGCATGCAGGCTGCATTTAGGGCTGCAAATGAGCCAAGCTACTCGCGAGCAACTCGAGGCTCGAATCGGGAAAAACTCGTTCGAAACTCGATTCGTTTACTGACGAGCCAAGCTTGAGCCTAGCTATGTTCAGCTCGTGAAGCTCGCGAGCTAGCTCGACTCGGTGGCTTGTTGAGCTCAACTCGTGAGTTAGCTCATTTAGAGCTCATGAGATGTCTCAACATTGTGGTTTGAGGGCCAACTTGATCACTGACTTATGGACTAATCGATCTAATTTGGACTTTCATAATTCATAGGATTGTTAAATTATATATCTCACATCATGTGAAGTTTAACATGTTGAACATGTAAGAAAATATGCCTTATTTTTAACTCTATAAAGAAATTATGTAAAAAATTATTTCGATACTATGAAATAACATGATTTGAACTAGTTAAAATTTATTAACTAAACAATATGACACCTAAAAATTATAATATAAGATTAATTAATGTTGAACATTTGATTATTTTTTTATCACTACATCAATCACATGTACCATACACGACATACAAAATGAATGTATTAAATACGATCTAAGAATTTAGTAAACAAGCCTAACTCGAACTCGACTCGACTCAGCTCGTTAATAAATGGCTCGGGCTCGAGCTCAGCTCATTTGTTAACGAGTCAAGCTCAAGCTGGGGTAAAACCCGGCTCAGCTCGGCTCATTTGCAGCCCTAGCTGCATTTGAAAAATCAGTCACTACCTTTTCTATCATACACGGGCCATTGGGTGGAGTTACCAAAAAAATTAAATTTATACCCTCTCAATGCGGTTACTTCCCTATTTCCCAGGCACTTTTAACCCTTTTATACTTTTCTTTTTCCTTTTCCCCTTGACAAAGACACGGTTTCCCTATTCCCCTCGCCTTTTAAATTTTAATTTGATTTCCCATGCATATTACACAAGCGGTTGCTTAGGTATTAGCAAAAATTTTAATTTTTTTTTATATATTCCAGCTATTCAAATGAATAATTGTTAAACATTTATACACACAAGTAATGTAGTAAAAAACGAGTTTCTAGGTATAAACGTTATGGTGATCTAGAAGCGTAAAATCATAATTTTTTAAGTTTTAAAGCGGAGTTTTTAAATACATAAGTTATAAAAACTGAAATTTTGTGTAGAAGCGTTTTAGTGACCTAGAAACGTAAAATCGTAAGTTTTTAAGTTTTAAAACGCGATTTTGA